TGAAACTTGGATGCACACTTCCAAATCTAGCAAACATACACCTACACAATTCTACATATTACAAGTTTTGTCCAAATCGACTGTTTCAAGGTTGATGGTTTCTGCGATCACTGTAAAGCAGTATTCAAAGCAATGGGATGCTACTACCACTTCTGTTCCTGTCATAAACCTCATCCCTCCTTAACAGAACAGGATATTGAGAGAGGAAACAAGAAGAGTGAGATGGATGATATGCGACAAGAATACATTAAAGAGAAAGGATACAAAGTGGAAGGAATGTGGGAGTGTGACTGGTGGGAAAGTTTCGTCAAAAATCACGTCAAAACCCACTTACCCTATAAAAAACCTCTTTCTACGGTGGATCTTTTTTTGGCTACGTTCAGTGCGATATAATTATGCCAGATGAGCTAAAATCAAAATTTGCCAACATTCACCCAATTTTCAAAAACACTGAAGTTGGAAGAAATGATATTGGAGACTAGATGAAAAGCTGTGCAATCGAGAACGTAGTGTTAAAGTATCCTCAGAAAATGCCGATTTCTAGTTTCAAGCTAGAAAATGGAACGGTTATAACTCCTCTGTTCAACTTTTATTTGGAATTTGGCTTGCAATGCACCGAAATTTACCGTTTTGTTCAGTATACTCCACGGAAATTTTTCAATAATTTCGTTCAATCAGTGGTTGATGCGAGAAGAGAAGGAGATGAAAACCCTCTATCAGGAGTTGTAGCAGAACAAAAGACACTTTTGGGTGATTCCTCGTATGGATATCAGATCATGGATAGACCGAGACATACAATCACAAAATATTTGAACGATGAAAAAACTCATAAGGCAATCAATGAGTCATTGTTCAAAAGATTGAATACAGTTGAAAAAGACTTGTATAAGGTAGAATTGTTGAAATCAACCGATGAACATAGAGAAACCATCATCGTTGGAATTTTCATACTGCAGTATGCGAAACTGAGAATGTTGGAACTCTACTATAACTTCTTTGACAAGTCCTGTGATAAAAATAAATTTGAAGAGTTGGAGATGGATAGAGACTCGCTTTATTTAGCTCTTGCTGAAGAAAATTTATACGACTGTATCCAACCAGATAAGAGAGCTGCTTGGGAAAAAATGAGGGAAAATGACTGCAGAGACTATTTCAAGTCGGATGCAAAACCTAATTTCTTCCCTCGAAGGTGTTGCAGTACGCATAAAAAGTATGATAAACGGGAGCCGGGATTTTTTAAAGAAGAATTTAGGTGCAGAGAAATGCTATGTTTGTGTAGCAAGACATATTGCTGCTATGACAACAAAACAGACAAATTCAAATTTAGCAGCAAAGGATTGAACAAGCGAGTTCTAGAAGATTCTGGTGACGGTCCCATGTCAAAATAAAGATAAGTGCTTGATGAAGCAATTAACCTTACTTCTACTAACAGATCTTCAGAACTATATATTATATGGTTGCTACATATGAACAGACAAAGAAAGGACTTAGTTGTTTTTATCCAAAAATACAAGTTCAAGATGATGGAATCCATACAAAACCATTGAACTTATAAGAAATGATCTGAACTAGTAAAGTTATTCATGATGTCGTATTATATTGGTTTTATGATATTGAAACGTAAAATTTTGCAGTAAACTTGTTATACAATGTAGTGATCTGTATACTTTTTTGTAAATTAATTTTTTTTCTCAAAAAATTTGTTTTTTCAGGGGGTTTCAGCATAGTTTCAGGTAGATAGAACACTGTTTCAAAAAGTAATAAAGCAATTTTTAGATCAAATTATACCAAAAGTGTCGTGTTTTGAAGTTTTTTGCTCAAAAATTCTTACCGTTGACTTACTACGTACCAAAAAATGAATTAAAACCCCTTCATTCCACAATCTACACGTAATTACCAATTAAATGTTCCCAATTAGATAACGGACGCCGAGTTTTTGCGAAAAAATGAAACGTTCCCACACAAAAACCGAAAAACTCGTTTTTCTTACCATTATCTTACCATCAAACAAACCATGAAACCTTACCATTGGTATTCCCCATCTTAATACATTGTAGACTCTATACCCAATCTTAACATATAGCATGGCAGACCGGAAACCTATAACGTATCTTAATACATGCACCTCCCCCCCCCCCCTCTTAACCTCCAACATCCACTACTCACCACGTCAAAATTTTCACCTTTCCACGAAGAAAATCGAACTGCAAAAACAGTTAGAAAAAGATTCATTATACAATCTCTCAAAACCGTTTCACAAGACTCTCTTACCGGAACTAACCTCGGAAGATACCTGGATGGATCGGTTCAGGAGGATAATCGAGAGAGGGGACAATCAGGGATTTGAATTGATGGGATCCTATACGAATCCGTCTTGGAACCAGACGGCCGTGCAAGACGACTGCACATTAGTGGACAACCGACTAGCCGTACCCGTACAACTGCGCCAGGCTATTATGAAACGAATTCACAGAGGACATCCAAGACAAACGTGATGCACGCAGTATCAACATACCTCTAATGGCCTCAAATGTACAAAGGCATAGTGAACCTCGCGGAGAAATACCGTAGTTGCACCAGAAATGGTAAGATTGCAAATTACCAAATTCCAAAAAATATATCATAACCTCTACCTATGCTTACGCTGCCGGGTCAGGAACTCCACTTAGTTTACGCGGACCCACTAGAAAATCTCAACGGCAAAAGGTATACATATTAGTATTTATCTAGATTTTCCTTTCTGTCGGTAAAAGTAACTAAATCAATGAGTGGAAAGACAAGAGAAAATTTTTTGCGGACAAATATCAATACACACGGCATTCCGGAATCGATTCAGTCAGACCAGTGTCTGGCTTCAAGGGAGAAACACTTAGGAACTTTTGTACAGAAAACAATATTGATCAACAATTTTGCCCAGACGGAAACAATCGGGGCTGCGGACTAGTAGAAAGAATATAATAAAGGGCAGGTTGGATGAACTGACATCAGAAGAAAATAAACGTTCGATCAAAGTTTGCCCAACTCTGCACAATTATCCGCCATTGCAGATGAAACAAACCAAAACCATTCAAGTTTATCTGCTACAGGCACACTTCGGAAGACTAACAAAAACTGAATTTAGAAAATGATAGGTATATGAAAAAAACTCTGAATATTTAGACAAACGACATCTGGAACGATTGGCGATAACAGCATATCAGCTCAAAAGGAGAATCGACCAATCAAGGGAGAAACTCAAAGTCGTCAAAAAAAGGGACCCAGAGCAACGACACGAAGCTGAAGTTCAAACAAAAACTCATAACAGCGGGAGACAGGGAACGATCAAAGGTGCTAAAGTACCTTTTGGAGGAGAACACCAGATGGAACGAGGAGCGTAGAGGTGCAGCGAATATTGTATTTGGTGAATTGTAGACGCAGCAGGACAACCAACCCCGGAACTCAGAAGAGAGATGATCTTCTCCTTGGGGAGCTTCTTTTTGAAGACAAGGAAGAGAAAACCGCCCTCACTTAAAAAGACGATACTACAAACGGACGACCTCAGGAAAAAGGGTCAAGAACTGACGGAACCCTCAAAGTGGAAAACTGCTTCAGAGTCTAGGTCCACAATAAAAACGTCTGGAGGATCGATATACCGGAAAAACGACATTGCGGAGGTCAAATTTCACCTTCAACGAGAACCAGCACAAGTCTCGAGTGAAAGCCCACCAGCGGAACCGAAGAAGAAACTTTAAAAATTAGCTCACCAGAGAGGCTCGAAGAGAGCAATTAAGAGGAGGAACTGCAGCCTCAACAAGCCAACCCATTGTCACTCAATGAGAGGTTCCAGCACAGCCAAATGATCGTTACATCACAAGAAACAGAAGCAAGATGGGGACTCAAATTGGCGGTTAAACGGACCAAAACGAACAAAGGTGGACCAAATTCAGCAAGTTGGCCAAATACACATGAAAAAATAATCCTGAAAGTTTTCGAAAACAAAAAGAAATCTGTACAAGAAGCCCGAAAGGAAAAAGCTGCAACGACACCCAACGATCGAGTGACAGAAGAGGCGGAAAAAGAGATGAGCAAAAAAAGTTGGGAAATGAAGAAAGTGGACTTGTCTATCAAACCGGAGGAGTTACTGGACACCTGTCAAAGTCGGTACTTAGCCCCAAGCGAATGGGGTCACTTAGACGATCAAGTACTAAAAAGAGGAGTACAAAAAACGGCGAGCGAACTCCGAGGGAAGAATCAATCGTAGGAGAGAGTGACGAGAGATTTGACCCGCCAACAGGCGGGGGAAATATCGGAAGAGGAACTGACAGGAGGGGCACTCCTAAAGGCGGCCCTACAGGAAAATTGGAGACGTTTGACAGATTTCAAGACGAGGAATGATCTCTCCATCGAAACGAGACTGGGACTACTAGAAAGACATCTTTTCCGTCGAAAATTTGGGAACGCGACTCTGGACGAGGAAGTATACTGGAACCCCAGCTGAAGAATAGGTTTAGACGAAGATTACAAAGATAAAGATGAAAAAAAACGCAATCGAAAATAAAACTTTTAAAACTGAGAATCAAAATCCTTCCTATTGTTATTATAAAATTATATACATAAATGAAAAATCTTTTTCACTCGAGGGGGTATGTGATACTGCTACAGTTATGTAACCTATATCTCTATATCTTTATATCATTTTATATGGTACAAGGTCACTGTAGCTCAAAACTTCGGTATCCGCTGAATCAATGAGACCAATTTCAAACCGTTTTGATCACAGCAACTCTAACAGAGAAAAACTTTTAAACGAAAAACAATTCAGTTTTTTGGAATTGTAAATCAATTTTTATCTCACTATAGTCCCGTAGAATATCACAACCTTGCACTCTGCATTGATCTGCATATGTAAAAAGCCCCAAAAATAAATCTTAATTCGAGCTATAATGCCACGAAATCAGGTCAGATAACAAAGCTAAAAGGTTAATCTCTCTTTCATTTCATATTTGCTATCTGCAGCCTGACGATTTGCTGCTTCGAGAATTCCAATCAAAGTTATAAAGATGAGTTTGAATGTGAATAAGAAGCTGCGTGGGTCTTCGATCTATGCGCTTCATTTCATACAAGCCGGGTTCCTGTACACCAGTTTCCATAATTTGGCTTACCCTCTTTTTGGTCGATACTTCAACCTGGCTTCACATCAGTATTCAAGGTAACTAATAGTCCGCGGGACTCTGGTTCTATTTGCCCTTGGCGCTGGCATACAGTTAGGGCATTGGGCGCGAGCGCTCTCAAATCCAGTTTAAACGGTATAAAACCTCTTAAAAAGCCAATCCAGCAAACTTTTCTCAAAATTGAGTTGACCAAACCTCAAAAAAATGTCCAATCCTTGATTGAAATAAGTCATGACTTGATTTTTTTTATACTACTACGAAAAAATGAACAATCACCTTCAAATATCTAAATTTTATCATCTAACCTTTGGACATTACATCTATGAATAACCAGGGGGCGGATTTAGAAGAGGGGGGAGGGGGTACGGACGCTTCCCCCTCAGAAATTCGACCCCCTGCAGACAATATATACTTATTTTGACGGGGAGCGCGCGCCGAAAAAAAACGCACTTTTTTGGTCAAAATTTTTGACCCCCGGCGCCAATATATACTAATTTTGACGGGGGAGCGCGGGCCGAAAAAAAACGCAATTTTTTATCAAAATTTTCCAAAAAGTGCCTAAAACGCTTTTTTATGGGCTGTTCTTCAAAATTTTGCCTGCGGCGCAGAAAACTTGGTCAAAACAGGGACTAAACTGTGCTGAGGGAGAGCTCGAAAAATCAATTCGGTCGACCTAAAAAAAATCGACAAAATTTTCGAAATTTTTTAAAAATCCGCACCCCCCTCGAGAAAATCCTAGATCCGCCCCTGTGAATAACTATTGAATGATACTTTGCAGAAAGTGTAATTTAAAAGAAACTATTTAGATTTTTATTCCTAACTCATTTAAATTTTCAGCCTGCGATCGCTCTACTCATTGGCTTGGGGATGCAAAATATTCTTCAGTTTCTGCAGTGACTCTTTGCCTGTTTTTGGCTACAGAAGATTGCCTTATTTGGTCACCGCTCTTTCCGCCATCTCAATTATCCTCCTAATTTTGAGTCTAAAACCCATTCCCGAACCCTATTACGCAATAGAATCGGGCGATAATTGCACCCAAAAACTATCCGACCCTCCTCAAAACCCCGAGGCTCCGAACGAAGCAACTTCATACGTGCTTCTATTTTTCCTATGGTACTGGGCGTTAGCCTGTTCCGATTCGACAATCGATGCGCTGATAACTCAGAGGTCAAAACTCGAACCCGACGAAAAACGAGGCACTTTAATTTCGTGCGCTCGCATATCGCGACAATTGGGGTCTATGTTTGCATACTTAGCAGTCGGAATTCTATTCAATACTGTAAATTATGGAGGTAGTTTTTGTGGTTTTGACTTTAAATTCAACCATTTCACGTGGATTTTATTTGTGTTTACAATTGTCGGTCTTATTTATGCTTTGATGTTTACTAACGAGAAAGATATTGACAAGGAGAAAGAAAAAATTGAGGTGAAACGGAAGTTGGCCGAGCTGTGGTCTCTTTTTCACAAATGGTACTATTTGAAGCTCCTCATATTTGCAGTGTACATTTCTCTGATTTCGAGCATAAGGGTTAGTAAAGCTAAAAAGCAGAAACTATTGAAATCAGGGGCGGATTTAGGGGGAGTAGGGGGGGCGCCTTCTCAGGTATTCGACCCATTGCCGACCCAGAGTGAGTTATGACCTATTGGTTATACTCTGCTCGTCACGCTATCTTATTTTCGGCCGGATAGATTCGTTCAACTTCTTAGTCTAATACGGATCGTAATCTTACTCTTATATCTCCTAGTCTCAATAGATCTAGTGTATACTGGTTTATGCGAGTTAGTTCTAGGAGTTTATCTAGAAGAAGAACAACTGAATTCAAAGTTTTTTTCAAATTGTTCTGGTGCTGAAATTACACGTAGTTTCAGCACTTGTAATTTATTAATAACATAATTGGCTTATAAATACTAGTTTAAGACTGGTTTCACCCATCCGGGGTTTAGAGAGTTTTTAGTTTTTAATTGTTTATTGTAGTGAAGGACGGGTGATGTAGTTTTCTGTAGAAGTTGTCAGCAGTGACTTCTTGGAGAGAGGACAGATATAGTTGTCTGTGTTGATGGAAAAAGACTGTTTTGTTCGTGTTTTAAGATGGGTCTCGTTGATCGTGGGCAGTCTTGGGTGATTGTGTCAAGACTTCTGATCGATGTATCGATTTCACTAAGCTTAGAGCAAGACTACGTGCAGGGTGAAGTTTGAATTTTCCGTGCGAAGTGTCAAGTGACTAGGATTGGTATGTGAGATCAACATTGAGGTGGCCATTGGTCTCGTTCAATGTGTTTTCTTTGCTGTTATGTTGAGTCCATACTTAAAATCCTTCGAGGACAGTGACTTTGGCAGCAAACCAAATAAATTTGCCATTCCAGAGTTGGAATGTACTCAGGTTGTCATCTCCTTTGCTGCTCGTTCCTTGGGCTCTAAAAAATCTTTACATGCTGCATTTATATATTCACATCTTGATAGTTAAGTTTTACTTATGACTTATTTTTAATTGTTATCGCAAAAGCATTTTTGGTTTAGTTTGGTTATTTTAAAGAGTCGCTCACACTAGAGCAACTCTCGTCGATAATAGAGTGTGGGTCACAAAGCGTGGTTGTAGTGCGATGGGTTAGGCCGGCTATAGAGCAAGCTCAGGTCTTCCCTCTGGTTGGTGGGGCCAGGAGTAGGCTATATTTTTATAGTCTCTTTGTGCAGAGTCTCTTTATTTGTTCAACCTTTTGTTACATTTTTATTACTTGTTTTTCTCTTTTTTGTTTTTGTTGTGTCCTTTTCTCAAAAATAGAATCTTTTGGTTTGGGTTTGTCTTACGTTTTTTTTTACTTTTGTTTTGTTTTAATAAAACTTGAAAGAGGTTTTCAAAAGAATAATTTATCCAGTTTTAATCTGGTTTTAATCTGGTTAGGGTACCGTGGGATTTCTTCTCTGAGTCATGCTACTAGTTTGTGGTTTTGTGACGTTAGTAAGATGCGTTGGTTAGTTCAGTTTACTACGTAGTTCTTTCCAACCGGGTTGAAGGAACGTTTGAAACGTGTGAAAACAAGTTATAGTAGTTATCATTGAAAGTTAAAACTTAAAATTCATTATTTAGACAATTTTTCGTAGGCAAGTTGTGCGATTGTGAAAAAAGTGTGTGATTAATGGGCGAGTGAAAGATTCAAATTTTTTAAAAAAGCGTCTTGTTAAAAGGTTAGTATTTTTTTAATTTAACTGCAATTTTTTATTATTTTACTCCATAAAATTATTAATTTTAATGCTATGGGAGTTTAAATTTATAAAAATACTGAGGTAAACTTTACTGCTTTAGAGGATTAAATTTTTGAGCTTACTGCTATATAAAGGTAAATTTTACTGCTTTAATTAAGTGCTGCAATTATTAAATTGAATTAAAAAGTTTTTAGAAAAGAGTTTACAATTTCTAATTTATTTTGATTTGTTTTAGATGACTGAGTGGTGAAATCTAAAAAAAAGTGAGATATTTATAAATGGTTAGTTGTGTTAGAAATTTATAAGTCAAAAATACCTATTTTTACTTACTAACGGTCGTCGTCGGCAAAAAAAAAACATTTGGAAAAACAGTGTGAATTGTGTCTGATGATGTTAGGAGTTAGCAAGCAAGCGGATGACGTATTTAGTTTGAAGCAGAGGCCATAGGAGCTCGAGTGCTCTGATGATCTTGTGCTCTTCACTACTTACTGAGAATTCATGTGGTGTGTTTTGAATTAGGTTATAAAGCTTATGGTCATATTTAGTGTTATGAATATATTCTAGGATTTGGACTTCGACGGGCTGTATATACTCGTGATGGACAATTAGTGAGCGGGATTCTTCGACGTTAAAACTTTTGGTAGGTGGGCAGAAAATATACGTTTGTCTTATGGGGTCGTAGTTTCAGATGATGCCTTGCATATTAGTTTCTTTTATACAGTACGTGAAGTTTAGTTTAGGCAGAATGGTGAAGTATATTTAGAGTTAATAAATGTGAATCGGTGTTGTGGGTTTCGTGATGGTGTATACTGGAATATTTTATCAATAATATAATTGGTTTATCAATACTAGTTTACAACTGGTTCCAATAGAGTCCCCTCTTTGTTTTTTTTTGAGATATCCATTATGGTGATGGAACCTATATTCTCAAGGCGCCTCTCGCGCCAATATATACTAATTTGAGGGGGGAGAGCGCATCGAAGAAACGCGACTTTTTGGTCAAAATTTTCCAAAAAAGGCAAAAAACGCCTTTTTTGGCCTGTTTTTTCAAAACAGTTTTTTGGCCAAATAGTGCTCTGTGAGAGAAAACTAAAAAAAAAAAAGGTCGACAAAATTTTCAAAAATGTTATAAAAAATTCCCCCCCCCTCAAGAAAATCTTAGATCCGCCCCTGATTGAAATTAATCGCTACTTTAGAAGTCGCCAAAATTCACTACTTATGAGTTTTTTGTCCGAAGATGCTTACAGCCTGTTTTAAAATTCGGCTCTCAGAAGGTTTTGAGAAAAAAAATTTTTCTTTTGAAAAAAAGGTTAAAACATTTTTCCTCCAACGGTTTACAAACCTTTCTTTTCAAAGTTTTAAAAGCAGATAGAAAAGGCTCAGTTATCGCAGAGTAAAGCGCGACTAACACGAGACAAATTATGGACGTCTTTCATTTTTTTGTCTCCATTGTCCATATCTATTGCATGCTAAAAAAATTGAGAATTTCCATCAAAATCATGTTATTTCTACATAAGACAGACGGCATGTTTGCTGATTTTTCCGTCTTATGTTTTTTTATATTTTCTGTTGTATGTCTATGAATTTCTTTTAAAAAAGATGCTAAATGCGATTTTAATTGTTGTTTGATTGCCTTTTTAACATTTTTCTAGCTTGATTCACCAATTGAGATAGCAGCATGCATTTGTGAGTAAAATCAGTCCAATTTCGTACTAAAAAATTTAATTTTGATTTTTTATCGCTTAGAGGGTATAACCGAAAAAACCTGAAATTTTGGAAAAAACATAAGTCTTCATAATGCTTTGAAAAAACCACTTAAGCCACCCATAAAATGGCCCAAAAAAGTTTTCAATTTTCAACCAAAATGATCAGAAAAAATTAATAATTGTGGCGAACTTTCTTCAAACTCTTTCTAACCGCAGTCCAATCCGTTTTTACTTATGTAATGCTGTAAGCAACCTTTCGAAATTGAGTATCTCTCAACGCATTACACTGACGGAATTATTTGATTGAGTGGAATTCTTCGCTCATTTTTCAAATTTTAAAATATTTTAAATTTTTTTGACCCTGTCGGACCCATCATTCAAATTTAGTTCGACTGAAAAGTTCGTTCAACTATCTCAGTGTGAATCCAAAACCGGACATTGTTCGAATAATTTGACCGAGCCATGAGTTGAGTACCTTAGCCCAGGTAGAAAATGAGAGTTTCAGTTTCATTTTAGAGCCCCGCTATTCTGAAAATTCAAATCCATTGGGCACAAGTGAACCCGATTACCATTGGGTTTGTTCATGTTGTCGGCGGTCTTATCGCAAGTGGCGGAATGATCATTTACCTCAAGTTTTTCCTCGCCTCTAATTGGCGCAAAATACTCGCCGTAGTAACAATATTCGAAGTTTTCACAGAATTACCAGTTGTCACAATGACGATATTTGACGTGATTCGAAATCAGTACTTTTGGTTCGTCGACGACTTGGTATACTCGTTGACTCGCTTTTGGTTTGATTACGTCATGGAGCTCGTAATTGTCGAGTATGCTCCGAACGGAATCGAAGGTATCTCGTACGCACTCGTTTGGGCTTTCTATACAATCGGCCAATCGACCGGGTCGGCTATTTCGAACTTCATAATGAGTCCATTTTGCTTGACCTCGGATGAAAGATACTTACGCGATTCAAGCGAAGATAAACTTGCTTCTTGGATAAGCTATCTTCTTTCGGTTTTAGTCCATCTCTCAACTCTAATTGTACTATTTTTGGTCCCGAAACAGAAAACGCAAGCTCTTGAATGGAAAGAAAAGTCTCTTAAGGTGGAAACACGGAATTCTTGGAATGCGCTAATTTTTGTCTGCTTATGCGTTTGTGGGCTAATTGGATCTTCTGCTTTAAATCTGATGACTATGTTTGAGTCCACGAGGTGTCTAATGATTGCTGGTGGCCCAGGATGTGCATCAAATGACCAATTCGACGAAAACTCAAATTGCATATTGTATTGATTTCAACGGAATAAACAAGAAAATTTATATTTAAATCATACATTTTTCTGCCCAAAAAGTTAATTGAGGTTTTGGTTATGATCAAGGGCAGCTATAGGATTTTATCGAAATGGGGGGCGGTGCATGGATCTCATGGATATTCAAAAATTTCAACGCCCGAATTTATTCTTTTTCGAGCTCTCTGAATGCAAAGTTAAACTTGACTTTTTAGAAAAAAAGCCAAACTACGGCTCTTGCAGGGTACTCTTTGGCACTCTGTGCAATAATATTTTGAACAAAAAAAAAACAATCTTTTTCGGCGCGCGCTCTCCTTCAAAGTTATTTTCGTACAAAATTGAATCTTTAAGGTTTTAGTTATGGCCAGGGCAATCTAGGATAATCTCGAGAGGGCCGAATATTTAAAAAAAATTGGATCTTTTATATGAGGCCAATTAAATTGAATTGCCGATATTGCCCGAACAACTGAAAGAACCAGAATTTAAAATCACAATTAGGTTTGAGCAGAACAGAAAATACTCCTCAGGAAACACTGATAAAACTAGTCTACAAAAGTTTACGCGCAAAGACAACCTACTTATGTTCGTGAAAAAAGTAAACAATTTTAGCTACCTATGCAAAAAGTAAACAATTTTAGCTACCCACATATGTTTTTGTTAAAAAGATGTTGCAATTGTCAGGCAACTAACATGATACATTTTGATTGAGGAAAATTAGAAATAACAATTGGAAACAACAATAAAAAATCGAACAAATAAAGCAAATGGAACCAGAAAGTTTATTAATGCTAAGAATATGGTGGACAGTTTGATGGCGAAAAAAAGCTGAAATTTGCACGTAAAAATATCAAGTTTTTAATCATGTCTATGTGAACACAACACATCAAACATCAAGATCAACCTTTTGGAACCTGATCTAAACTATATTTTATGATTGGATAAATTAAATGTTTTACCAATGTAAAGTATTTAATATTAACCAATCATGATCCATCTAACTAACAACCCACTTATTTGTAAGTGCTGAAGTTACTTGTAATTTCAGCACCAGAGAGATTTGAATTTAACTTAGAAATTAGTTGGACTCTCCCGAGCACTTCAGCAGCCGCAATAAACCAGTATACCCTAGATCTATTGAGCCTAGCAGAGACTAGTTAAACAACCTGAGACTAGATAGTATAAGAGTAAGATTAGGATCGGTATTAGACTAAGAAGTTGCGCGAATCTATCCGGCCGAAAATAAGATAGCGTGACGAGCAGACGGTGTACCCTATCCGAAATTACTCTATGAGTTACACTTCGGTCCTAACTCATCTGGTGCGACCATAAGTCTCGAACAAGACCTTACTAGATTAGAATTAACCAAAAATAGATTAGAAATTAGACAAAAACATTTACAAAATGTTATACGACAATAATTTAATTGAAATGTCTCTCCGACTCAATAGATCACAGCCAATATTCCGAACCATAATAGAACTACCCGGAATTGGAAGAAGACCTCGAACCAAAGACGACATACGACAAAGTAGAAACTTGCCGTATAGTTATATGATAGTTCGGCAAAAGCCAGAACAAACTTTTATATTTCGAATACTACTTGCAATGAATTTAGATTTCCATTTGCAAACATAAAACCTTGAAGTTACTCTTCAAAATCATTTAAGGCGCTAAACAAAATTAATATTATACAATAACGATTGATAAAAAGATCTAAGATCGTTTTCCTAAAACTCTGCAGTAATATACAAAACATGTTTGAAAAATATTTATTGGAAAATAAAAATAAAAATTAGTAGCATGACAATAAATGGTTAGTAATCATAAATCATCCTGTTGTTCCAGCTTCATCATCTAAAACATAACAGCAATCATCAACTCACTAACATCATAAAACACTAAATCTTTCCTTTACACACATTTAAAAATTTATCAAAACTTAAATTCACTTAATTTTAAAACCGGATCATCAAGGCTTATCCTTGGATCTTAAATCATTTTCTACTTAATTAAAATCTCAAATTTGATCATCAAGGCTTATCCTTGGATCAAACAGAACAATTTTGTTCTCCCCCACCCACTTAATTAGTGTCTAACGACCTCAAACGTCGATTCACTACCCAACCCTTTCTAAAGACCCAAGACTAATAGAAATTTTTAGACAAAACTAATCATTCAAATTAGGATAAACAGTGAAGAACTTCGGTTATTCATCCTTTACTTGACCCCCCCTCTTACCAGACCCAGGATAAATCTTAGACTTAGTAAGTTTAAAATAGTATCTAACGAACTACTCGCGTTCTAATTATACCTGAACCTTGTGGATCGATTTACTATTCTCCAACCCTTGAACACAATCACTACCCCTAAGTAAGATTAAGTAAGTTAACACCTTAGCTTATACTAGTCACGAGAAAGTAAAAATCATTCTTCGGAATCGATATACTTTTCTCTCCAACCCTGAACAAATAGACCCAGGTTAAGCTAACCAAAAAATCGTAAGAACTAACAGTTTAGGAAAATAGAAATCATTTAACAACCTTTTGCATCCGTCATCCTAAACCTTATGTCATTTAAAAACCTAGGAAATAAACAAACAATCATTTTACACAATTGTGAAATAGATAACAAAAAATACGACCTTGTAATCACACCTCATACACAAACAGTTGGATACATTCGCACAAAACGACAAACACTAAAGAGGAAAATAATAACTAAACAAAGACAAATAACACGAAAAAGATTTTCAAAAAACCGAAACGCATTTTCAGAATCAGAAACCAACAGTTTAGACGAACTTTACAAACTAAAAGAATCAATAGATAAAAATTACCCACTTCACGATCAATTATATTTTTCTGACTCAGAAACAACTTCAAATTCATCACAAAGAGGAAAAAGAAGAATAAAAAAGCAGTACAAACACAAACCAGTACATCTATACAATTGGAATCAACCAATTCGACACATTAATAATTACATATTAACAGTCATCGAACGGAAAAATGAGTTCAACACACACCCCAGGTGACGAAACTCCAGATGATGATGAAATCTTTCCTTTTATAGTAGACGCAGATACTGATAGAGGACAACACATATTTTGTCAAAATTTACTCGTAAATTTATTTGAACCCGGAATTAGCCCATGTAAAACAGAGTTCCCAGATGTAAAAATCAAAAGACAAATCATAGACCACTACTTAAAAGATATATGCAACATAACACAACAGTATGGAATCTACTCTATAGAATTCACCTCACCAAACCATAATAATAGAACATATACTATACAAACAGACGATCTTGATTTAGAATTTTCAAAAGTTTTTTCAGAATATATAAAAAGCATCCAAAACCAAAACTCACAAAGAGCAAACTCCATTTTCACCAATGAAGTTTTCGCAATAATATATAGTTATATTTCGATATTAGAAAACGAAATCCCACTAACAAATGTCTCACCGACAGAAACATCCAAACATTTGAAAGTACGACATGAAATTACACTACTCTCTAGTTATTTAAACATCATTAAAGAAAATTTCACGAAAGACGACGTTTCACAACATACCAAACACGATTTACAAAAAATTTTGGCATGGTTCATAATAGATTATTTCACACACAATATTGATTTAATTGCACAAGCAAGAAAAAATTTTAGACCCCAAAATTCGAACGATGATACCGCTATCACAGAACAATCAGATTATGTTTGGGACCCCGAATGGTCTCATCCCGCATTTATAAGCTTTCCACAATCAATCTCAAGTCAAGCAATAGGTACAATATCTTACATAAGAGATTACGTAAGAGTAATACCATTAACAATTGATGCAACACCATTAAACTATAATACATTTTTACCCGATACACAAAATAATAGTTTGAACTCGACAGTCATACACAACGAAAACCTCAATGGAACTAGGAATCTTACTCAACAAGATATCCAGACACCATCACACTTCATAAATGAAGAAATTGTACACACAACAACTACACAACAAAGTATTTCACCAATACGCCCAAATTTAACAACACCAAGAAATACAAATCCTTCACAAACACAGGTAACCTTACAATCAACCGTTAAACCTTCGGTTGCTCCAAAATATTCACATATGGATTACCAAACATACAGACCCATGACAATACCATCAAAAACACGCAAAACATTCACTAGAAACAACTTTGCAGACCATAATTATAATTATACACATCCATCAAAAACAAATTATCAACCACAAAGGAATTTTAATCAATATACAAAACCTCGAAACTGGGATAACCCAACGGCCCAATATAATTCCAAAAATCTTCAACCAAATCCTCCACAGGATCGCAGTGAAAATTACCCATTTTTTCAACAGAATAAAAATAAAAAACAAACATCTTATCAAATGGATTATTTATCCTCAGATGATGATTTCTTACAACCAGATATATTTGCACCAAATACTCAAGAATATCGTAGACAAGGAATACAGAGAACACGTACAAATCATAGAAATTTTTCTCCACAACCAATAGATGCACAAAATCAACAACCAATTCAACAACAAAATCTAATTAATACACAATCTTTTCAACCAATTCAGCAACAAAATCCAATGACTACACACTCGTATCAACCATCACAAATGCAAAATGAAATACCACTCCCATATTATCTCCAACAACATGAAATAACAAGAAACCAACTTTCAAATTTTTCTCAAATGCCAAATGCAGCAGAATCATTACAAATGACAATGAATCCATACCTAATGGGTGGATCATCAATAACATCAAATAAACCTTTAATGGTCTTCACAGGAACAGACCCTGAATACTCTGTAGAAGATTATTTAAATGCAGTAACAGCAAATTTGATTTTAAATATAGGACCTGAACCAATTAATACGCCACTACATCAAAACTGGATACATCGACGCACAGCGTTGATACAAACAACCTTAGATGGCGCAGCCCAAAAATGGTTTTCAGTACTACCTCTAGAA